TGGTGAATATTAAGCTGCCCATAGCTGCCTTAGCATACAAGGACAATAACCCCCCCCGTGGCCATGACAAACGTTCCATCGCAAAATTACATGAAAAGTAAAGCGCCACAAACAAATGGCTCATAATCACAAAACTGTCAGGGAGACCAATGTTGTAAAGGATATAAACTTCCAGTTAGTAAGCCGTTAAACTTGCGGCTTCAAACGTTGTTTACACGAACCTCTCGATTATCCATAACTACACAAATTACAGGTCATTGCTACTCTGACGAGGAGCGGCTATCATCAACGTCGCTGAACACATTCCTTCTTCTTCATGGGCACGGCATACCAACAGTGATTTTTCTTATACCACTACGGTTTCAAAAAGCACTCTACTGCGTCCGGCATGATCAAGTGGACCGCCTGGGCTACTCTAAGGTGGAAGTAGATGCGGTAGTGGTTCGTCACATGTTTCACCGTTTCTACATCCCTACCCTCACAGAGTGGCAGTTCTCGATACTATATTTATGTAGCAGGGACTTGCGCCTATCAAATCTTAATGCTGTACAATGTCGACCGAGTAAACAAGAGTCTGAGACCTATTCAGTCGGATCTTCAACGAGGTTTGGCTGGAAACACATGAAATCCATCAAAAAAGGTCCTTGCAACGTGTTTAGATGCTTCTCTTCAGCCATTAGAAAAGACTTGACCATGGTTCCAGAAAAGCCTTCGTGACTTCAAACCGGGTTTGCTAAGTCGGTAGAGCTTTGACCTCATAACGACAAATCCTGCGTTCAAGTCCAGCTCGGGGTCACTCACCTTTCTTCTTTCTGAGGATGCTAAATGAGCAATACTTAGTGAGAAGGAAACAAGAGACCACGCTGTACAGTCGTCCTTTCAAAAGACAAGGCATTCCTGGCTAATAACATTAGAATCAGAGACCAGCACTGCACCATCAACTTCATGAAAAGAAGGGTGCCAAAATGGCCCAATTATGAAAGTGAAGGAATACAGGCACTCCAACACTGACAAACTTTTTTTTCCTTTCCTTCGAGATTTTAGTTCCATAGAGGGCATAGATTTCTGTGCACAAGCTTCCCTATACCAGGTATACTTATGCACGCCTCACCACTTTACAGCATCTGCTTCGACAGAGCATTAAAACTGTCCATTGGAATGAGCGACTCCGTAGTCGGCAGTTTGTACAGAGCACATTACACTTCCTTCCTCAAGGAAGGATTCATATTCTCCGTCTAAATTGGGCGCAAGGACCAGAGTCAACACTTTAGCCTGCTGTAGCTCCAGGATTACCATCCTTCCGTTAACAAGCTTCCAATCAATAGTTCTATCTGCGAGGCTGAGTTCTACCAGAACACCAACACCGGCCTGAGTGTGGGTCGTGATATCGACGCCTGAGTAGAATAGCGTTCATCCGCTGAAGTTAAGGAGTCCAGAGAGCCTAGGCGCTTCGTTTACAAGAGCCCAACAATGTCGAGTTGGTACTTTATGGCCTCATCAACTAACTCTTGCTCTTTCCCTCTGAGTGAAGATATGTTCCACTTTCCGACTTTAAGCTCCCACTGGTGGTGTCGTTTTCGTAGACTCTTTTCTGACGTGCTATAATGGAATCGCGCTGTCTGCCTTCTCCGTTCAGAAAGGTTAGCGACTCCGTTGCTGACTTGTAACTTCGTCATCGTTTCGTCGATCTTCAGCAACCGTTGTTGCGCAGCTACAACGCCAGCTGCCAAAAGACGATGAGCACGTTCTGATCGCCGACTTTTCGCAACCTACCAGAGTCCCTCTCCCCCCAACAGCTTGCACTTTCATTGGTAACCATGGCGAGGACCGAACCGGCATAATGTTTGATTATGGTAGTATCATGAGGAGCAGAAAGTTGAAATTTACAGAGACCTGGTCAGGAACTTCATCCCTCCTCCTTTCTCATCCGGGCATGGGACTGGCGACAGTGAAGTTAAATTGTTTAAACATTTTTCTGAACTATTAATTCAAATAATTAAACGAATAACCTTTAATAATTAAACCGACGTTTGTGAACGATAAAATAAAGATTTGACAAATGACCACGCTGGTGGTGTGAAACAGGGTACTCGAAGAACGAATGCAAAACACAGGCTTCACGGCTTCACTGTTTATAAAAAAGATCAGAATTTGTTAATCGGACATTGTCTAATATATAATCAACAAATCACAGCGAAAACGCTGTCATAGTAAATAATACAGTAACTTTGATCGTACCATGGCTTGTTGCATCTTCTTTACAGCTTCGTCAAGGCGACGAATGGAAAGAGCGATCATACTTTCGTTCTCAACGACTATTTCTTTCTGCTTTTTGATAACGTATTCATCAACGCCGTCGGTCGTCATCTTTTCTACTTTCGCTTTCTGCTCCATGGTTTCTTTTTCGTAGCAAGCTTTTTCTTTAATAAGTCTTTAAAAAATATACAAAATTGCAACAGAAAAATTTTAAATTGAATTATAAAAAACATCAATTCTGTCGTAGTAAACGATGACACGTTTTATTCGTTAAGAAAAGATTGCACCACCCATTATTTATAAATATTTACGAATGGCGAATTAAGCAGGTCGGATTCTGAGCATGGATGCAACGCAGAATCAGCGATTATGGTAAGAACCATTCATGTCCTAAAGCAAACTCGAGACTATAGCACAAGCAACACATGCGTGTTGTGCACAACACACAACTGAGTAGCGTCGAAAGAGACAAATCAGCACCTAGCTAAATGCCTAGTAGCTGATGATAAGAAAATAACTGTAAAACTCGCGACGAGATATGAAGCTAGATTTTCATTTTCTTACAAACTG